TGGACAGTAACTGTAAGGATGAGGCAAGATTATGGCACTTGTCTCTGGCTAGCCTGGGCTTAATAGCAAGACCTTGCATAACACAGAACAGAATGAAGCAAAACTCAAAAATCATTTATGCTTAAAAATGACAAAGTTGTATCACTTCTGTAGTAAGTCTTTCTCTGTCCCTCCAGCCAGCTCCCAAATAATGATACAAAGACTTCTTGTTAATTATGAAAGCTCAGCCTTAGGCTTGCCCCACAAGCTCTTATAACTTAAATTAACCATTTATATTAATGCATGTTCTGCCACATGGCGTTCCTGCCTTCCTGCACCTCCTCTTTCCTCTCCTTATATGGCTGGCAACTCTGCCTTTCTTCTGCCCAGAAGTCCTGCCTAACCTCTTCCTGCCTAGCTATTGGCCATTCAGCTCTTTATTAAACCAATCAGAAGGTGCCTTGGCAAAGACACATCTTCACAGTGTAAACAAATATGCCACAACATCCTTCCTTCTTAAAAAATATTTCCAGAGATACTAACGTTTTTCATTTAGAAAATAATTGATAAAACATTTCTTTGGATAGTACGAGAACAGATGGGGCAGGTGGTGACACTGGCTGCTGGACATTAATTAATCCTGGCCTTTTCCTTCTTGTCCCATGTCACCAGCGACTGGTTTCTCCTCAGTGTAAGCTTTTTGTTTTCTGAAGGTAAATCTTCTTTGGTTACCGGCAAATCCCGGTATTTGTAATTTCTTTGGCCTGAAGATTTCTTCTTTTTTTCTTTTCTTCTTCTTTTTTTGCTCGCTCTTGTATTTTGTTTCCACGTTTGCAAGGCTTGGTGAGAAGCTGCTGACATTCTCTTGGATGCTCACTTCAGCTGCTGTTGGCTAAGCTTGCTTTGACATCCTCAGTGGCTGTCTGCTGCCAACAGTGCATGGAGAGGATTCATTAAATTGAGTTACTCAGTCCTGCTATAACACCCACCATGGGCAAAACCTTATCTACATGTTTCCCTGGCTGACCTCATGAGATCCTGGCTGTTCTCTCACTCCCAGGTCCACCAGTCAGGCCACTATTGTCTCCATCCACCATACTTAAGAATGAATGATGTGGTGGTAATTGGGCTCTTGATTTTGGAGCTTTTGGGCCACCAACTGTTCCTTTGACACCAGGAGTTCATGTGATGGTGTTTTTTCGGTAGTGTGACCTTTCTGGAAGCAATTCAGCTTCTAGAATATGGCCTTAGCCCAGCTCTCAGGAGTTTCCATCTGCCCACTATTACTGTGGGCCAGGCTTCAGGGTGGGGTAATCCCTCTCTCCCACATCCAGTTGCCCAGCTCCAGGGAGGAAGAGTTGTCCCAAGTACATGTTGTTTTTATGCTATGGGGATAAAGAGGTAGTGTGGCCTCAGAGGCAGGTTAGCGAATATTCATATCTAAGAAAACACACAGCTACTGTTTTCGATTTGTATCTCACCCTTTGGAACTTCTGTGTAAGCCACGGGTTGTAGAGCCTGCTTGTAGTCCCAGCACTAGGGAGGCTGAGGCAGAAGGATTGTGAGTTGGAGGTCAGTCTGAGCTACATAGTGAGATTATGCCCAAACCAATCTAAATCAAAATGAAAAAAGACCCTACCATTTAATTACACAGCTATAAACAAGAGTTAGAAAACAAACAACAAAAGTCACCCTTGCAGCTGTAATTCAACACAGATTCTTTAATTTTTAAAAGATCTTTTCAGGCTGTTTAGTCCTCACATGTGGGTTTTTTTCCCCCATAGAGTTAGAGTTTATAGTCAGTCTTGTACTTTGATAGCTATCTTTTTAAACTTTTTATTTATACTTAGTGGATTTCACATCATGCATCCAATTCCCCTCATCTCCCCAGCCCCTTGCAACCTCCCCCCAAAAACAAGATATAAAAGGTCAAAGAAGTCCCCCCAGCAACCCTCCCACAAACAAACAACCAAAAACAAATGAAAAAATTCTTCATGGAGGCCGCAGTGTGGCCCAGTGAGTCACACAGGACACCTTTCAGTCAATGCATCTTTATTTGCAAGTGCTCATTGCAATGAGTCTTTGGGCTGGTTCAAGGCCTCTGGCTTCTGCTACGCTGTCGATACTGGGCTCTCACTGGGGCTCCTCTTGGATATCCTGTTGTTGTCTTGTGTCTTCGGGTCTGCAGGTCTGGCCCCTTCACTTGTTCCAGCAGTTCAGAGTTGGGATGGGATAACTCATAGTCTGGTTCTGGGCCTGGGTGGTAGCTGGGTTGGCCAGCTGCCATCTTTCCTTCATTGTCACCACCTAGGTGAGCTCTCCAGCACTGCCCGGGCCAGCTCACCCAAAGTAGCAGACATCAGGGAGCAGGGCCAGCTCTCCTCCTGCTCTCCCACCCTCCGGTCCAGCTCACCTGCACCACCAGCTGACTGTCAGGGCCAGCTCTACTGCTTTGCCCAGGTGAGGTGCAGGGCCCAATCTCTGGGTTGCTGCACTTGGTGAGGGGCAGAGCCAGCTCTTCTGTTCTCATGCCCCCAAGGTCAACTCTCCTGCCTGTCACAGGTGGCAGGGGGTGGGGGAAAGGGCCTATTTCCCTTACCCTTGCCAATTTGTGGCATACCAGGGAGGGGGGTGGAGACAGCTCTCCTGCTTTCACATCTACAGGCCTGGCTCTCCTGAGCCCCCACCAACAGGGTCAGCTCTAGTGTGCTGCTCAGGAGAGGAGCTGTGCCCACTGTTTCTCGTGCTCCAGCTGATGGGGGCAGGGCCAGTTCTCCCATTTTCCTGGCCTTGGGGCCAGCTCTCTCACTTGCTGTAGGTGACAGGGATGACAGGGGGAGGGCACACTTCCCTCACCCATGCTACCACATGGCAGATGAGGAGGAGTGGGGTCAGTCCTCCAGCTCTCATGGCCCCTGGCCTGCTCACCCGTGCCCCCACCAACAGGGTCAGGTCTATCCTGCTGTCCAGGCAACATGCAGGGCCTGCTCTCCCTAGTGCTGCTGCCTGTAGGGGACAGTGTCCATTCTCTCACTCTCATGACCTCAGGGCCCACTTTCCTACCCACTACAGGCAGCAAGGGGTGGGGGAAGGGGAGGTCTCCTCTCCCTTGCTCCCTCCACCAGATGGCAGGTGAAGGGTGAGGCAAGATCTCCCACTTGTATTCTCTGTTCCAGATCACCTGCACCTTAGTCAATGGGGTCAGCTCTGCTAAGCGGCCTGGGCTAAGTAGAGGGCCCAGTCTCCTGAGTGTGCAGCTGGTGAGGGGCAGGGTCAGCTCTCCCACTCTCGTGACCCCAGGACTAGCTTTCTGACCTGCCATAGGTAGCAAGGGGCAAGAGACGAGGAACAAGGGGGAGTTATCTCTCTGTCACCAATGATACAGTATGACAGGTGGCAGGGGACGTAGCTTTCCCACTTTCAAAGACTCAGGGCCAGCTCACCTATACCCCCACCAGTAGGGACAGCTCTACTGTGCTGCTTGGGGAGGTGGAGGGCCGGCTCTCCAGAGTGGTGCAGTTGGTGAGGGCCAGCTCTCTACAGCCCTATCCTCACTGCTTTCAGAGGTAACAGGATCTGCGGACGTCCCCCTGGCAGCAGCCCGGGGTCTGGATGACACCATGGCCCTGGATGGCAGTGAAGGTCTGATGGACCCAACAGTGGCTTGGCCCTTGAAGCCACACATGGCCCCAGGTGTGAGCCCAGGTGCCCAGCATTCACGCAACGAGAGCTGTCTTCACATCTGTACTACTCAGTGGTGTAGCTGAAAACCCAGATGTGTGGGCTGGCAGGCAGTGAGGATGGTGGGGATGGCAGGCAGTGAGGATGGTGGGGATGGCAGGCAGTGAGGATGGTGGAGGTGCTGAGTGCATGGTCAGTGCATTTCTGACCATGCACTCAGTAGTGGCAGCAATTTCTCAGGGTACAGCAGTCAAGGGTCAAGCATGTTATATTAGGTCCCCTTGGGGCATAGTAGACCTCGTGTGAGGTCCCTTCAATTTCAGACTCCACAGTACCCTGCAGCTAATGCACTGTTTTTCTTGACTAAGGACAATGGGGGCTTTGGCTTCTAAGAGGAGAGCAGGTCGCTTAGAGTTGACCTAACTCAGGCATTCTTCTTCTGAAGGCTAGAAGTCACTATGCCATCTCTGAGGAAGATGACAGTCGAATTTGGGTGGTTTAGAAGCTGTTCTAGAGCCAGCTCCATGCTTAGTTCTTGATGACCTCTTCCCACCAACGGCCAGTTCTGCCCTGTGTTTAGTTCCAGAAAGGGATGATACTCCTCTGTTGTGGCTGCTGCAGCCTCAGACACCTTCCAGGGACTTTTGAGGGCAGGCTTTCCTCTAGCTGCAGGTGCAATATTGAGAGGATGGTGATGGTGGGACAGGTGTTGGGGACACAAGCTACCGACAACCATCTCTGACCTAGACTTGGGACTTTGCTGTGATGTGTGGAAAAGATGCAGTGGCTAAGGCATGGGGTTTGTGGGAAGGAGAGATGAGGATAAGGAGAGAGGAGAAGAAAGGACGGTGCAGGAAAACAGCAGAGCAGTGCAATTACTCTGGGTGTGAAACCTTACAGTACACACCCATGTATGTTAGATCATACTCAACAATACACAATGCCAAAACCTGTGCCAGGAAATCAGGAGTCAAAATTGTTAGCTTGGCCAGAGAGTAGCCCTAAACAATTCTCCTCCATTCTGCTTGGAGAGGGCCTCGATGCGGGTGAGGGACCGAGTCAGTTTAGAGCAAGGAGTCTCCCAGCAGCTGGAGGTCACATCTTTATTGAGGTGCATTACAGGGAATAATTGAGCACCAGGGCATTGTGTGTCTTCGAGATTCTCTCAGGGGCAGGCTGAAGACAGGCTGGAGGCAGGCTGGGGGCAGGCTGTGGACAGGCTGGGACAAGATGGGAACAGGCTGGGGGCAGGCTGGGACAGGCTGGGGATTGGTCTTTTAAGCCCAAGGGGTACAGAAGAGCTCTGGCTTGGAGGCCCTGACTCAGGCTGGCAAGGCTCTTCAGCTATTTGCCCTTATGACTGTATTAATCCAGGGCACATATGGGGAGATTCGGGTGAAGACTGCAGGGGGCTTTGCGTCACCACGTCCATAAGATACAATACCATGGGCCACCCCAGCACACAGTAGAGGTCCCCCGGAGTCTCCCTGTGGGTTAGAAAAAACAGACCACTAACAAAGTCTCCTTTCCCCAACCACAGACCCCTCACCATAGCTAATCCCAGAGTAAAAGGAGTTCCCTTTCCTTATGAGCCATAAATTGGGGATTTAATTTTTTCTCTGGTCTTGTCCTAGTGCTTAGATGGTCTCCCTTCACTCCCCTCTTCTCTCTTTGGAGCCCTATGGGAAGGTTGCAGGCAGGGTTTGGACATGGGAATGAGACCTAGAGGGAGAATTTCAGTTCCCAGAGTGCTGGCAGCCTAAGAACACAGGCATCAGTCACGACAGACAGTGGAGAGTTGTTTGTCCCATTCCCTCCACTGACCCTGTCTCCAGAGGTGGGGAGGAAAAGTAGGTGTGTACTCACCTTGTATGCTGATCTTATCTTCCTGGGGCTGCCCACACAGACCTGGAAGTCATACTTGTAGTTCGGATAGTATTTACAGGCCTCTTTATCCATGATTCTCAGCTTCACCTCCCTCAGTTTATCTGATGCTGGCTCTGTCACTCCAGTTCTTCCCCAGCCAGCTGCCCGGCACATTTTTCCAGGTTTAATAAAGTCGGACGGACTAGGCAGGGGAACTGTGTCCACAGCAGGAGTCATCATAGCTTTCCTTTGAAGCTGCAGGGGGAAGGAGAGAGGACGTGGTAACCCAGAGAAGGATGCTGTCTTGGACATGGGTCTTTTCCCACTGGGGTGGTAAGGATATGGAATTCAGGGGTGGGTTCTGAGGAAATGGGTTGGACAAGAGAAAATTCCAAGGCCTGAGCCAGGAGAGTTAAGGAGGGGAGAGTTAAAAAGGGCAAGAAAAATAATGGCACCTTCAGCAACATGATGTCATTCAGGTTGGAATAGAAGCTGTAATTTGGGTGAGCGATTTGTTTTTTGACTTTTATCTTCTGCTGTGTGGATTCTGTCTTGCTCACATCATGAGCTCCAAGAGTGACAGTAATTTCTCTGTTGAAAGAGAAGAGAGGCAATAGAAAGTGCTGGTCTCATGAGGAGGATGCATTTTGAGCAGAGGGACACTAGGGTCTTCCTTATCCCAGAGTAGAGCCACTTGAGAGACTCTGATTGTACTTGAGACAGGGCTCCCAGCCTTCCCAGAAGGAAGGAGCTCAAGGAAAGACAGGACTGAGATCTAGCCACCCCCCAGTATTGGGACTGAACTTTACATGTGGTGGACAGGCACTCTGTCATTGAGTTACACCCCAGCCTGAGACTGAGAGTTCTGGGGACATCAGGACAAGAGGAAAGCAATAGTTTGTCCCTCCTGGAGCCCTGCTTAAAGCTCTGCCCTCTGAAAATGGACATATAAATAAAATGGTTCAATGAGTGACTTTGTGTCCCTTTGTCCTCTGGGTATATGTAGGAGCCCCTCTGGAGATGAGCAGAGCTGGGACTATTCCTCAGGCCTCTGCTGCTTTGTGATTCTGGTTCGTGCACTTCTTCACACGAAGAGAAAGAAGCCTCTTACTTTCCTTTGCAGTGTGCAGCCGTCATCACAAATTCTGGGGTTATGAGGAATCCCCCACAGCTGGCAGTAAAGCCTCTCTCAGTGATGATCTCCAGATAAGCCATGTAAGGGCGGGAGTGTGGCTTTGACTCCACACCACCAATAATCTCCTCTGGAACAAAGAACCCCGAGTCTCGAGTCACAGACTTGCAGGACACCCCGACACAGTGATGGCAGAGGGATGGGGGCCGAAGATGAGTGACTGCTCCCCAGCCTACCCCAACCCTCATAGGCTCAGGCCCCTCTGAGCATAATTTCATCTTTCCACCCAATGATCTCTTCTCTCCAGACCTCCCTGTCCACCATATAACCCTACATTTCCGAATGCAGTGCTCATTCAGGTTTCTGAATTGCCAGTTCATTGAGACACCAATTCACCCCCTCATGCTGTCTTCCCCAACGCTAATGGAAAGCCAGAGAAGAGCTGCCTATCAGAAGGGAGCATTCTGATGGAACAGTGTGAGGGGGAGTTCATTTTTCATTCTTACTTGACCTAAGAGATTTCCCCTGAACTAACATGTAAAGGACCCTGCCTCATTTTAGGGTCTCTATTACCCAAGTGAACAGATTTGGGGCAGTTGCTGAAAAAGTCAGAGGATAGGGAGATAGAGACCAAACTCACCAGCTCCAGCTTCAGGAGGCAAGAGAAGGGCCAACAGGAAGAGCAGGGCCAGCATTTTCCCACTGGTACAGCTTGTGGTTAGCCTCTGCTGTGCTCCTCCTGCCTGGTCCCTGCTTTTATAGTTCCAAAGTTGGAGGAAGGGAGGGCTGGAAACCACAGAGCTGGCCTGGTCAAGCTTTATCTTCCTTCTTAGAAATTCTCATGACTCTGTTCTCTGATGGTGCTGAATCTGTGACCAGATCCTGAGAGTCCTGGATCCCATGATGGGGTGTCCACTCCACCCTCCAAAGCTGCTCCTCCAAGGCAGGACAGTGACACAGAGGATGGGGGACCTAGGTCAGGGATTATGTACCTGTCCTTGTATACAGTCAGGTATTATTGTCAGCTTTGAGGTCCCTGCAAGCGTATGTGTCAGGACTCACCTCTGTCGTTTTAGCACAAACACAGGCCTCCGTAGTGTGTGAAACACAAGGGTGTGAGTACCGACATTTTATTTACAAAAATTGGTGATGGGCTGATTAAGCCTTATGGCCATCATGTGTGTTGACAAGTGGGAGGGCATCTCAGATTTATTCAAGTAAGTAGCAGATGATAGAGTGTGGCTGAGAGAGAAGAAAGAATGGGGAGAGTGTATTGAATACTCAGTAAGTATATCAGGCAGGACAGAGACCTAATGCCAGTGGTCCTCAACCTTCCTAAAGCTGCGACCCTTTAATACATTTCCTCATGTTGTGGTAACCCCCAACCATAAAATAATTTTCTTTGCTACTTCGTAACTGCAACCTTGCTACTGTTATAAATCATAAATATCTGGTATACCAAAAATCATCCTGTTCATACTTTGAGAGCCATACTTGCCTGATAACAACATGCCTTCCTTGCAGATCAGTATTTGAGACCTTACCTGGTGCTTTCATCATTTCATGTAGCACTGCTCTCAGTCAAACAGGGACATGCCATTGTTTACAAATTTTATTCTTGCTTAATTGATTACAATTTGAAATGCTGTGCATCTTGGAATAGTTGACATATTGGTACATTTCTGGTCTGTGCTTTCTTTAGACCCCACCAACCCTGAGCATTACTGTTTCCATGTTACATATGAGGCAATCTAGTGTTGACAAAATGTCATAGTCATTAAATACCAGAAATTGGTCTTAAATCAGTTGCTGCTTGACTCCCTTCCAATAACTTTTCTTTGCGACAGCTTGCTTTGCTTTGTTGGAAAAAAAAAGCAAGAGGAAGCAACCAGAGGATCCCAGGGGGTCAGTTCATCTGTCTATAAGCTCACCAGGGAGCACGGCTCATGTAGACTTTCAGTTCAGATTGGACCCTATAGATTAGAGATCCTCCCTGGAAGTAAGAACAGGGACCTCTTCTGTTCATCAATCTAGATGTAATTTAAAGGTCTCACAGATCCTGTTGTAAGTGATAAAATGTAGTACCTGTAGTAGTGAAATGATTATTCATGGTATGCATAATCCTGACACTTAACCAATGTCACCCATGGGTATCTGCAATGCAAGGCAAGGCTTCGGGTGAACAAGCATTTGCAATCACAGATCATAGGAGAGTAAAGTGGTTAGTTCATTGTATCTAAGTACTCAAGAACATAGGTAAAGAACATGATGGGCTTTGGACAGTATTTTTGGTCTAAATAAGGATGAGGAATTTTTCTTTTTTTAGGATAAAAATAATTTATTGTGAGGAATTTTCTAAGAAAAAATCATGCAGCTAGATTAATGTAGCATCTCAAAGACTCAAAGATTAGGTATCTCAATCAACTATACAGTTGGCATTGACATTCTGGAGTCTTGGAACTTTGAAGAAAAAGTCTAGATCTGGTAGAAAGAGGCATTGATTACCATATGGAGCCTCAACTAGTTCCCAGGCTTGGGCCTGACCATCAGAGCTCTTTGCAAGATAGAGGCTGCATGCCCTTGAGGAAAGTCCTGGCCCCAACTTTGTTTGTATTTCCTTCCTTTGCTTCCTCAGAGCTACAAGGGGCCGTCTAAGCAGAGTGATATGGATTATAGAAAAATAGGAATCCAGTTTTTGATTATTGTACACTGCATCTGACCTGATAACACTTTGTAAAGAATTTCTGTGAAGTCCCAGTTTGAGGATGGGCTTTGGAGATGGTCTATACACTGTGTCCTAAATGAATTCTTTCTCTTTCTCCAGTTCTTGAATACAGAGGTAGGAGAGACACAGTCACCTATTGGCATCATCCCCATAGTAGTTGCCTGATTCAGGAAATGACCTTATGATAGAAACTAGTGGAAAGCACCACAACTGCCTCTACTTACCAAAAGGCAAACCAGGGCATGCTATTCATGGAGTTATTCAGGAGTCAGTGCAACTGACACTTTATTGAACGTTGCAGAAAAAGCGATCCTGGAGCCCTGCAGTGAATTATTGAAATTTTACCAGATAGCAACTCCAGATGTAGTTGCTCTTGGTGTAAGTTTTATTGTTGCTGCAGCTGATGCATTTTTTGTAGCTATCAATTTGGGGAAATCATTGACATGCATCATTAGGGGCAGTAACATCCATTGCAGGGAGCCAATCATGTTACACTGATGGTATCATGTTCATTGGGCTTGGAGTGAAGGAGGTATCAACTTCCCAACGTATAGACACCTTGGGAAGACACAGTCTTGCTGCAAAGTATGAAATAAATATAAAATGTTGTGGGATAATCTTTTTGCACACTAAGAAGATGTGTCTCTGCCAAGGCACCTTCTGATTGGTTTAACAAAGAGCTGAACAGCCAGTAGCTAAGCAGGAGAGGATAGGTGGGATTTCAGGTAAGAGACAGGAACTCTGGAATTAGACGCAGAGAGTCCATCAGCGAGATATGAAAGAGTTGGATGTACAGTGTGGAGAAGAGGTAACAAGCCACATGACAGAACGTAGATGAATATAAACAGGTTATTTAAGTTTTAAGAGCTAGATGGAAACAAACTTGAGCTAAGGCCAAGCTTTCATAATTAATCAAAAGTCTTTGTGTCATTATCTGGGAGTTGGTGGATCAAAGAAATTCTGGCTATACTAAAAACATTGACTTTAGAAAAGTAGCCAAGGTTTCAATCAGCTGTCTCTTCCTAATTGAAGTTGTTGCATCTGGTTCCTCCAACCCCAAGGAAGAGGTAAAATCCTCACTTGGTATTTGGATGGGAAGCTGATAGACAAAGAATGTTCACACCTGGCTTATGTGTGGATCCCTGTGATAGTCTAGTGCCACTTGAGTGTGTATGTTTGGAATAATACAAGCCTACTTGGTGGTATCCTGGAAGATGTTCATACAGAAGTTCAAACCCCAAATAAAAGCATCCTCACACTTCTAGGGGAAGACCACCTAGTCTGTAAACATAGTAAGATGTAGCAACCACAGTCATTTTTATTAACTCCCCTTTTCTTTTGGACAGTTGTAGATTCCTGTGCATTTGTAAAAAAAAATATTAACCAGAGCCATCTTGACCTTCATCTTGTCCAGAGACAATGTTTTAAATTTAAAATGTTTGTTTTTAGAAATTTTATACAGGAGTATTCTATTCATAGCATTATCATGCCTCCCTTTCCCCCTCAAACTCCTTTCACACTCCCCCACTCTGTCTCAAATGAATGGCCTCTTCTTCTTTAATTATTATTATTATTATTGTTGTTGTTGTTGGTGTGTGTGTGTATACACATACTACTGAGTCCACTTAGTGTTGCTGGTATGTACATGTGTTTAGGGGTGACCACTTGGGACTGGATAACTTATCAGGGCCCTGGTCCACAGAGAAAACTAGTTCCCCCTCTTCATTTATAGCTGAGGTCTCATCCTCAGCTCCATCCACAATTGCATGTCCACTGGTGGTATCACTATGTAGTTCTTGTTTAGGTAATCATTTGCTGACAGTTCCTAGGCATGGATTCTCTGTTATGACTAAAAGACACTATTTTGTAGCAGGCATTGTGGCTGGCTGGCTCTTACACTCTATCAGCCTCTTTTCTGTGATGTTTCATGAGTCTCAGGTGTAAGGTTACATTGTAGATGTATCCTTTGTGGCTGGGCACCCCATAGTAACTTATTCTCTGCATTTACCCACTTGTGGTCTCTATAACAGTCTCCATCTGTTACACAACAATGCTTCCATGAGGGTTGAAAGCCACACCTACTCATGGGTCTAAGCCTTAAGTGTGCAGAATACAGTAGAACTTACATCTGTTTAAGGAAACAGTAGGCTCTCTTCTAGCTTCACAGCACCAGCATAAATTTCCTTCTACGGAAATTAAACCCAATTAAACAGTTGCTGGTTACCTTCAAGATGTGAGTACCGTTATTGCACCACTGTGAATATCTTGCCAGGCTGCCATTGCTGTGGTTCCTAAGTTTTACAATTGGGTGGGACTATTGATTGCCTTTTTTTTCTTTCTGGTTCAATTGTGCCTTTATTCACTTAGTGCATCGAAGTGTACAGGTGTTTTATAAATGAAGGCCGCCCCTCTGAGCAGCGTTTTTAAAGCAGTATTACAGGAATCCTTATTGATCGCACCGTAGTTATAAAAACCAGGGACATACTGACATACACAACCTACATAAGATAGGGTAGTCAGATAGAATGATGCAAATAAAATCACATTGAAAGCAAGTAGACAGTTGCATGCAGGGAGGGGGAGGGGTGCCTGTAAGGGGCTAGGATATCATGTGGCTGTGTTGGCTTCCCTCCATGACAGCAGGCAGTTCTGAGATTCTCAAATCACAAGCATGAGTGAATCACCAAAGATGGTCTGAGTAGACCACATGCAGGTAGCAGGAAGCAGTGGTTTGCTTTAGTTGGAACTGGCCATGGATATCTGTCAAGAATCTGTGTCTCCTGCTGCTGTCGTCTTCACAGCTGACATCTAATGTACTGACATGGAGTGGGAGAATCTCAACAGCTGTCTGATAGAACTACCCTTACAAAGACAGCTATACACTAACAAATTATCTATAGCTGGAAGCTAAATGCAGATGGAGTGCATTTGAACTTCAGAGTTGAGTCTGCATTTGACAGCTGCATCCTG